GGTGCAAGAAAACTTTTACAGTTACAGTTTTTCGGAGGTTGATTATTACAAATGTGCTGCACCGCGAAGATACAACGGTAAAATTTAGTTTGTGCGGGAGAGTAGCTTGGAAGCTTGACGACTTCCCTTCCGGATTCAATTTATTAGCCTAGTCATCGTTGAGCATTACTTCAATCACTATGTTTTTCTTTATATTTAATTATTTGCGACAAGCAGAGCGTGTTTAACAAAAACTGCACTCTGTCTCTCTGTCTTCATCTAATCATTTTTATAAACGTCATTAGAATATATTCTGTAAATTTTCTTGTCATCGATTCAAATGTTTTAGTTTACATTAATTTGACTTGTTAAAAATAGGCCAGGCTGTTTTACATTCTCTTAAACTCGTACATTATAACTATGACAACATTTTAAATAGACTAAAACAGAACATGCGTGTCTTCAACGCTTATCACTTTTTTCTCAAAACTTCTTCCAAATGGAACTTTCTTTCAAAGAATTACCTCTTTGACAAGGAAGTTTTAAATAATTGTTATCATAGTCCAATACTGCCTACTGTCGCGACATTTATAAATCGTAGATTAGACAGTTACAATTATTACTGTATTTGGGTCAAAACAAATAAACAAGATCACAACACATTCATGTTAATATTTTAGTTTTAAGTATTAATAAAATAATATTTGTTACGATTCCAAAATTTAGAATCGTAAGGCAGTTTCTGTCTTGTCAAATAAAAGCAGAAAATGTTCATGATCAGTTATCAAATTACCACGTTCACACCTCTTGTACGAGCAGTTAAAGTTAAAGAAAAGTGTATTATATTAATACAGATTTAACATTTTTTTAATTAAAAAAAAAGTTTTTTATTTTAATTATACAAAAAGTTAATACAAAATTTAACAAAAATCCCATTTTTTGTAAGGTAAACCTTGATCTGTCAATAGAACAATGTTACTATACCGTTAACACTCTCCTACATTTTTATCATGTAATGGCAACGTGACATTCGGTTAAAAAGGTTATCACAATGTTCTGAATTTCGAACAGTACAGTAGCTAAAAATGAAACCACTTGTCCACAAAATTGTACATACATCGAACATTTTGAATAGCTTATCTAAACAGGGCATGCCATTTTTACACGATGATGTTTTGTTTGAAGTAAGTTAAAAAGGAGTAACGCTTTACATTTCTTACTACACATTAAAGGAAAACGAATTGCATTATTCATCAATGTAGAATAAAATCAAATTAACAATTATAATAATAAAGAAGAGTGATAGTTCTGTGATGATGTTGCATTTTTGTCTTTCATTTTAAAATTTTCCCTTTATATTTTCTTCAAACTTGCGCAAAGAAATTCTTTTTTAATGAGTTTTAAAATTTTACTTTCTCCTAATATCATAGGTTTAATAATTGAAAGGGAATGGGGAGCCCAACCATTGTTTAAAATATTGGGAATGGTGTAAATGACCCCACCTTTAAATTTGTAATTGCAAAATAAAAAAACTTCTAAATGACAACTTTGACAACAAAACCTTTTTTGGAAACCGCTTTTACTTGGATTTCAACCTTTATTTCCAGCTTTTTAAATGAAATAAAAAAATTAATTTTGCATTAAAATTATCAACTTGATTAATAAAATTTTTAATAGAATAGAAAAAAACAAAACAGACTTATATTTACTGAAAATTTAAACTCATTTGCCAACAAAATAAAAAATTTTTAAACAATACATCTAATTAAAATCACAAGATCAGATCTAATCATGTCTCTTTCAAATCAATTTAGAAAAGGAAATATTAATATATTAAATTGTATTTACTATATCTAACGTTTTCTATGACAAATCGCATTTCTTACATACAAGGATAGATTTAAAAGTATACTTCTATTGTTTGAATTTAGCATATTAGTGAATTTAAGCGTAGATCTACTAGGTCTAGTATGATAGTATATTTTTAAATATTTTATGTTATATCAATATAACAAGGACAAATTAAAATAAAATGGTTATTATCTTCGACGTTATGTACATTACAATATAAACAATATCTTTGATTTCTAACAATTTTATTTCTATGATATCTACCAGTTTGCACAAGTGATGAATGCGAAGATAATTTTATTCTTGTAAAATACCTCCTGAAAATATTGGGTATTGTGGGTATTGTACGAGATAATTGATCATATATTAAAAAAAATTCTTTTTGATAATTTTTAAAAGATACAAAAAAAGGGCTGCTCTTTTTTACCAGGGAAAGGGGCCCAAATTTGTAAAAAACAAAAAAAAAACAGTCAATTTTCTTTTGAAAAAACTTTTTTCGGAAAACTGGAAAATTTCCCCAAAAACCACTTTAAAAACCATAATTTTAAAAAAAAAACAAATTTTGGGTTTGATAAAAAATTCTTCCTACTTGATTTTTAGGGCTTCAAGAGAAAAAGTTTATTTACTTATTTAAGAATGATTAAAATTTTTTGTCTCAAAATAGTTTAAACCCAAAAACTTAAAATCTTAAAAAATATCTGGGAAATAAATCATAAAAGTGCAAGTTTCACCCCTATACTGGCCAAAAAATTTTATGAAAAAACATTTTTAAAAAATTTTTTAAAACCCTTTGATAAAGGAAAACCCCTGATTTCGGACAGCGGTAATTTGCAATTGAACCAACAAAAGAGTCAAAAATATGTAAAATGACATAAGGGCGTAACCCAACAAAAGGAAATTCCCAATAGGGAATTCCCAAAATTTAAACTACCACGCCCTAAAGGAAAAAGGGAAAGGAAAATTTATCACTATACCCGGGTTTTAAAATTTTACGCTTTTAAATTTCAATTTGGGTTGATTGGGGTTTTCATTTATTCTTTAATAAATAATGTTTTTGTCAAAAATTTTCAAGGAACGGAAAAAGGGCAAATTTTTTTTAGTCAGATAGGGAATTTTATAAAAAAAGGGGAAAAATTTTTTTTGAAACCTATAATTCCCCAAAGGGTTTTTTATTTTTATCCAGTGTAAAATTTATTCATTTTAAAATTTTAAATTTAACCCCATTCTGTTTAAACCCTTTTAATACAAATTTTTGGGGTTAAAAAATAATCAAATCTTTTAAATTACGGGGTTTTCAAAATATTGTTGCTCTATAATGCTTGGGCAAATATTTTAAAAAACAATAAAATTTTTATTAGAAACTTAAAAAACCATAAGTTTTGTTGACATTTTTTATGTTTGGGGTTTCAATTTTTTCGTAAACCCTGGCTTGTAAACAGTAAAAGAAATTGGGAAACACGGGCGTTTTTGGAACCCTTTAAAGATAAAAGGATTTTTGCAAAAAAATTTTTGGTCCTTGTTTCTAAATATGGGAAATTTTGGGAAGAATTTTTTGGAAAAAATTCCTAAAAAAAAGGTTTTTTAAAATCTTAAGTTTTTCGCCTTTAAAAGGCCCGTTTTACTTGTGTCTCAAATCCTTTTTACACCCGGCCAAAGGGAGCGTCAGTTAAAAGCTTTAAAGGGGAAAATAGGGGGTTTGTTTGTATAAATGTTTTTCCCATAAAAAATGATCTAAAGATATATTTTATTTTTATTATAATAATGCCAGATACTTATTCAAACTCTACAATCTTTACTGGTGTCTCTGATACAAAAGTATTGCAAGTATTTGTTTCAAATGAACTTTTTAATGTATGAATACAATTTTGTCTAAGGAGTCGTGTTTTATTTTTTAATCTAAATGTTAGATATATTAATTCGTATGTTTAAGGGAAAAAGAGATGTCACATTTTATTATAGTTATATATAAATATGTTATACTAAGGTTTAGCGTTATCTATTCCTTTATAGTTCTACTTTGACAATTACAGTATAAAGATGAAGCTGTTCTTGGTTTGCCTCCTCCTACCAGTAGCTCTTGCAGCACCACTAGGTATCTTTAAAAGTCTTGCATTTTGATAATTGTTTACATAGACACGTGTTCATGTATATATTTCTTTTTCGTAAAGTCCGCTTGATAAACTGATTTAAAAATAAAACATTAAAAATGAAAATCATACACACTCAACAAATAAAGAAATAGCATGCAATGTCAACATTTATTTATAACAATCTAAACATATGTGCAGCCCGGCAAGACTCTATATTGTATGTAGCTCATTTTTCTTCAATATTTTGATAATCAACTACTTCAAACATCGTTTGAATGATCCATCTTTCAGCAAGGTGAATTCATTTATAAGAAGAAAACGGGATGGCTACTCATGCTTAATGATACCATTAATATAAATTATTACTCCATATGATTATTCAGTTTGTCTGATAAACTTGCATAGTTTTGATGTTTATATTGGATGAATTACTTTTCGTATGTAAAAGCAGTCAAGTATTATTTGGAAGTTTTAACTAAATAATTGTCGCTCATAACTGAAAGAAAATAATAGGATCAATACGTGTTCATATAAGGTATAACTTCATTATGTAGTAACATCAACTCAGTTCGAACCACATTTACAACTACTTCACAGCTACTTTTTGATGAAGATAATTTAACAAAACTCCTTTTTATCGTTTTCAGATGATTCAAAGAGATTCATTGTCGGTTCCTTTACTATAGACAGTCTGTGTAAGTACTAAATATATTGATTAGTACACCCTCCCATTTTTGTGCCGTCTTTACCAAAAAGTCTTGACCAAGTCCTAAAGTCCCAGTTGCTGCCTAAGACAGTGGACATGTTCGACACAAGTGTGTGTGTACGTGCTTTCGGCGTGCGTTCGTAAATGTGTGGAGGGGTGAGTGTACCAGCATCCCGTATGATGGTCACCCTCATCAATTATTTTTCTCGTATTTGAAGAGAATATCAACAATCTACATAATTTGCTATTTCAAATCATAGAAACTACGTCAAAAATGTTTAAATTTCGTGTTTTATTAGGTTGTGTGCTGTGTTGAATTTCAAACATGTTTAAAACAGATATGTACCACATAATTGCAAAACCTTTTATTTTGGTAATCATAGGTAAACTTTTGTGACAAGTTATAACTTATACACGTTTTTTATATTATGATATAATTAGAAAAATTGATATTACTGTTACAGTTGACCTAAATACCTTGAAGTGTGATGTACAAATCATACTTGATGTAGTAGGAAGTGATCCAACGGAACAAGCCTGTGAGAAAGAGTGCCACGTGCTGATCAAGGATGGATTGTTAGACCATAGTTGTCCTCTTATTTGTCATGCGTACGTCAATTTTTATAAATATCTTTTTCTACAGTTTATACCAATACCCAGTCTTTTTAAAGGAAGCTTAACGTAATCAAGTAAAATAATTTGTAAACAGTCAATTAAATCAATTTAAATCTGGAAACGTCTTGGTTACTCTTTTTTGGTTAATAGAGTGACCTAATTAGTTTAAAATTTTAATTTTTTTTAATAAAGTATCAAAAAGATCAATGTTTATACTTATATGAATTATAAGAATGTACAGACTCAATGAAACTGACTCTACATTTCTCTTGTAATTTTGTTGTGATTAATGCTTCCGAGGGATCACTTTGTTTCCAGATTTTTATTCTATTTCTAGATATTACAATAAAAAATTATTAAGAAATATTTAACTTTCATCGTCAGATTTTTTGTGTTTTTTTATCAGATTTTTATTATAATCTTTTACAAATATGTATGCATAAAGAAGTAAACATTAATTAGACACAAAACTGAAACTCAACGTGAAAGCAGCGTAGTCTACGGCTCGATAACAGTTTAAAACTTCAAATATAAAAATAAATTGTTTTAAGTTTAAAAGAACAAGCAAGCGGAAATGACACGAGTCTTCCGAAAACAAAGTAACCAGATATTTTGAGCAAACTAATTTTTTATTTCATTCTTCCTAATGTTTATTGTTTATAAAAACATCAATACTAATAATGTTTCATAGTAAGTAATAGTAAGTAAAATTTCAGATTCCAGAATCTAGCGCATTACTTCCACGAAGTACCAAAGCCTGGAGATCAGCATGCCCACTGCGGGGGACTAGACCTTACAACTGCCTCTGCTTGAATAAAACATATCTTTCAATAATATGAGGAATAAAAACCAAATATAATCAAAGTATTGTTATATATTTTTGTTAATTTTCCTTTTCGAACGCAGTGATATGTAGGTACCTGCCCTTTTCGAGATCGAAAAAACCACGTCAAATTCCAAAAAAATTTATGGGTCATTTCTTTTTAAAAATCACCCAATGCCCCTTTTGTACAAGCTTATGAAAATTTTCAACATTCTTTTAAAATATTCATAAAAAAACAAAATCAAAAAGAGGTGCATTTGTAACCCCCAAAGTTAACAACGTCAAAGTTGTATATTGTCTACAAGCAGTATATTGTCTACAACGAAGAACAAATCATTGAAAGAAGGACTAACATTTTCATTGGTACACAATGGACTAGACAAGTTATAGGAAAAGAATGAACAGACCGAGTATTATGTGTAGTCATTATTCGGTTATTTGAAGTGGTTTTTGTGAAATTGACTCACTTCGATTCCTATCATGAATAAGAAGAATAATGTTTATACATGTAACGTAATGCAAAAACATCTTAAAACATCTTAAAGCTGCACGCCTCCAGATGAACAAAAAAGTTCGATAAAATAAAACCTGAGAAAAATATACTAAGATGTTAGGAAAAGTATAAAGAAACAAAATTCTAGTAATAATTTACATGTTATGTGCGATCAATGACCGCTTTTTCAGTATTTATAACTATATTTCTACTGCGTTACTAACGCAGTAAGGGCTATCTTTGCATATTTTGACCTGTTTATGGTATTTTACATGGGTTGTAAGTGACATTGATAATGTGTAAATTGTATTCTTTTGGTAACTTCACAATATAAAACTGTTTAAATACATTTTCAAATTTTCATGAAAATTAGCATGAATCTGTTGATGTGCTGCTTTAAAGTGTTTATCAGAATTATGATGAATTGAGCCGATCGTGACATCTTTACATTTAATTTAGTGTCTATGTTAAATAGTAACCATGTACAAACGTTATAAATGTAATTTCGAAACGGCGATTGGACAACTTAACACAGTTTCTTATTATAGAGTTATCAGACACGATTTTAAATTGTCTACCGATTGTCTGGCAGCTTATCTTATAAAAATGAAATGCGTACAATGTTTCTTTCATTTCATTGTATCATAGTTTGGGAACCTTTCTGTTGAATATATGTCAGAGTTAAATCGTATACATATACATGCACAGTGCGCAAACTGGAGTGCTGCAGGTATTATTTACTCGCACCCCAGAGCATGCCCATGGATTGGCTCATTTTGTCTGGGGTTTACTTATTGTGACGACAAAGATAGGGATAGCGATCATAGAAATATCATATTCAGGTTTCTTTTTCCTGGGGTTTCATTTTATTCAACAGGATACGTGTTTATATATTTGTCTATGATACAAAAGAGAAAGAAAATCAAGACACTATGCCCCCTTGAACTAATCAGATAGCCTCGTGTTTTGATGCTCTTTCTATTACTTTCGTACCTAGTGAAACACGAACAATTCAACTTTGTGTATAAAGAATTCGTATTTATGCAAAACTATTCGGATTGATGAATAATATTTTATATTGTTTTCATTAACTTAAAAATTAAAACTGACACCATTTAGATTGTTTCCAGATATACATTACCCTCATTCTATCGATATTTTCTGACAAATTTAAGTATTGAGTTCAAATATACTTCATACAAAGTAAATACATGTATTTTCCAGACTACGAGCTTCATCAAGTCATATGCTTATGTATGCAAAAAGGTATCAAGTCTTAATGTTACATTGGGGCAGTCCGTTACTTGAATCGTTAATGTTATGAGATTATTTTTTCTGTTCATATAATACTCCCTTGTATACGAGAGTCGAGGCATGATCTTTAGAAATGTGTCTACGGTTTTTGCTTTTATTGTTTTTAGATTAATACTGTCAAGATTATCAGTAAAGATTTGTTATTATTTCTTGTATGAACATGATCAGTTCAGTCATTTTGCATAAAAGATGGAGTTCTAATCGACTTAAAATAATATGAAAAAGAAATGAATCATTATTATAACGCTTTTCCTGTTTCTCTAAAATATGAACATTTGTGAAGAAACAACAAAATCATTCAACATTATAATATTTTCAATATGTGATATGTTTACTTTGATAACAGTTTAATGAAATCAACACTTCAATCGATATACTAGTATTGTCCAACACTTTTGACCTGGCACTTCATTAACATCTCGTAAAGGTCATTTGACAGTTTATATCAATATCTTTTCTAACTTCACTCGTCAGTGAGGTATGGTGTATTGGTAGACTTCCTATCTGAAGGTCTCTGGTTCGATTCCTTACCAACACCATGTTATGATTTTTTAAAATTTACTTGCAAGAATTAATTTAAAATCGTTTCACTAAGAACATCTGGTTAGAATAAATTTTAAGTGGTGTTATATTGTTTCATTACAGTATCTTTCAACGGTGCTCTTTGTGACATTATGCAATCGAATATGCTTTAGCGCATACACGTTATAAATAGAGGACATTGAATGAGTGTAAGTTCAATACTGACTTTATTGAACGAGTTGAATAAAGTTATATTATGCGAGCCTCTGGCGAGCATGACATTGTTTTATTCAACGTTTCCAATAAAATTAGTATTGCAACTACACGAATATAATACTCTGTATATCACATATTCAAAATTAAGAGTGTTTGGACTGAAAAAAATCATTTTCAATGACAGGCCTATAGTGTTAAGCTAACATTAAGCGCGTCTTTACACGATGTTTGTAATTCAAGTCAAAATATATGCACGGCCGTGCAATATCGTTTTTTACTGAGTCGCACAATATGCACGGGTATGTAGTAAAGGCAGTTATTAAAAAATACTACATAGATATTACACACAACAAAACAAATTACAATAGTTTTAAGAATTAGAATTAAAATAAAAGAGAAAAAAGAAAACGCTGAAATAGGATTCGAACCTACCAGTTTACGTTTACATTCTTCAAGTGAAACT